CAACGCAATTCCTTCATCGAAAAATTTATGGCTGAGAAAAGCTCAATCACATCAATATTGTGGACTGTGTGGTGAAGATTCGGAATCCTTGGAGCATATTTTCTTTTATTGCGAGAGGGCTTATTTGGTTTGGAAATTGGTGCCGGTTTCTTGGGATTGCTGTAATGTTGCTGAAGTCGGTTTTAAAGGTTGGTGGAGCAGGATTTGTGAAGGTAAAATCTCCAAAATTCTTGCTCAAAGACAACAGTTAACGGTGTATGTATTGTGGTGGATTTGGAAAGGGCGCAATTTATGAATTTTTGAAAAGAAGTGGATATCAGCGAAGGAGCTGGTAGATGGAGCTGTCAGAGACTGGATAGAATTTTCCGCCTTCTCTTAGTTTCTTTTTCTGTTCATTTTCCGTAGTCTTTTTGATTGGGTTACAGAAGCATTTGCCTAAGGACTTGTTGTAAGCATCCAGTAGGCATGCTGTCTGTAGTTTTTGATTTATCACTGATCCTAGTTGTTTTGCTTTCTCAGTTCTGATTGGGAGGTTTAGTTTTGTGTTACGGTTTTGAAGGTCTTTTGAGTCTCTTTTGTCCTTTTCTTTCACCTTGGTAGTTGTTTGTAAATCCAAAGTTTCTATTGCTTCTGGGTAGAAGTTTTTGATTCATTTGCTGTTTGTAAATACTAGCTATATGTACTCTCTCTTTTGTTTAATAATATATTTGTCGTTTCTGAAAAAACAAAAAAAAAAAAAATTAATACAATACATTTAAATATAATACATGTCGGACTCCCTATAACGTTTCCTCTCTCATTTCAAGTTCATTATATATATGTGGGACTCAATTTCAAGTTGTATTATATTATTTTTGGAAGTTTTTCTCACCTTTTTTCTTAACAGTGTCGTTCAACACTAGTGTGTATCTCGTGCACTGCACGGACGGGCTTTTTACTTAAAACCTTTTCTAAGACTTTATATTAAACATCTATATATATATAATTACTAGCTCAAAACATTTAATAAAACCTATTTAATTTTACCTATGTGGCAATTTAACAATTTTCCCTCCAAAAACCGTTACATTTTGATGTATTTAATCTTTCATTTAATCATTAAATAATTAATACTCATCACTTTAAAATTACAAAAATTATTTTAAACTTTTGATTAATGACAGTTGACCATATAATGTGTTGACCGTATAATGTGATTAGATGTTATTATTGTTGTTACATTTAATTTTTTTTTTTGAAAATAAAAAATATATTTGAAATTTCTAAATAAATAATAAATAATTCACAAATAAAAGACGTACCAAAATAAACATTAGATCCAATTAGATAAATTTTAAAAAAATATTCCAACTCTTTTAAGTAAATTTGGTCTGCAAAAAAGTGAAAGAAAAATAATTAATCATTATATGCATACAGACTCACAATAATTTATTTATATCTGTGCAAATGCACAGGTCGCATACTAGTAGTTATTTATGCTTAACATCTCATTATTATAAGAAAAGAAATACCAAATATGAAAAATTATATATTATTTATTTGAATATAATGAGTGTCCCCAACCAAACTAATAACATCCAACATATGATATATGATAAAATTAATTATATGATCGTCATACTTTTTGAAAAAATATACATATATTTCTAATAAACATGTTACATTAAGATCCGCATTTAAATTTGTATTTGGATATGGGATGAAAAATGAATATGTACAAAAAAAAGTACCAAGAACCCACATAAAATGAGATTCTTTATAAACTTTAAAATATTTTGTAGTTAAGCAAATATTAACAAACAAAATCATCAATAAAGTTGAACTTTCCGAATATAATATATAATTTATGATATCATTGACCATATTTACCCGTTGTATTTAAACATATCATTGACCATATTTTTATGAATTAAGGTTTACAAAATATCTTTTTCAATAACAATTTTTTTTTTATTTTGAATTTGACTTTTTCATCCAACCGCCATTTTCCACAAAACTAAAAAAATAAAAATAGTATTTTGAAAAATTTTAGACGTAAAAATCAAATAAAATTAATTTAATAGTAATCAATTAATTTAATATTATTCAAAATTGTTTAATTCGGTCAACCCGATCGCAGTGCACGTTTAATTGAAACAATCGCTTACAAAAAAAGGAAGTGAAATCTATCTATATAATATAAATCGGATTTGAAAAAAAAAAAGAAATGAAATTTCGTAATTAATTAATTTAAATTGATGTTATCCGATTTATATCAACTCCCTTCCAAAAAAAAAGAAATATCCGATTCCTACCAAATCGATTAAAAAAAAAGGATTATGATATACGTCCAAATAAATTACAATTGAAATGTAGGCGGGATTATGAAAAAAAATAAAAAAAACTTTACCAAATAAAGTAATAAAACGAAAAAAAAGCGGGAATATGAAGCGGGAAAATAAGATAATTTTTTTCGAGTTTTTTGAACAATTTTTCTTAGTCGTAATATATAGTAATAGATTTCCAAAATGTTACCACACATTTTTTTTCTATTTTTGTTGTTCTTATTAAATTTTATATACATAAGATATACCTTGGTTAATTTTAAATTGAATCTAAAAGTCAACTCCTCACACTTTTCGAAAAATGTTACCACACAATTTTTTTTTTCTTATTATGTTTTATTTACATAAGATATACATTAGTGGTTAATTTTAAATTGAATCTAAAATTCAACTCCTCACATTTTTGAATTTGAATTTTTAAATAAGGAAATGTGTTTCCATATTTTTTGGAACTTAGAATATGTTGGATTCATTTATCTATAACTAATCATACACGTATTCAAAATTTGAACCCAAACAAAATTCTTTGAATTTTTTGCTAACAAAATCACCTTCCCATAATTTATTTATTTCGAAAAATGTTACCACACAATCTTTTTAAATTTCTTTTTATTAAATTTTATTTACATAAAATATACTTTTGTTAATATTAAATTGAATTTAAAATTCAACTCATCACAAATTTGTTAATATATATATATATATATAGAGAGAGAGAGAGAGAGAGAGAGAGGATTCTCTTTTTTTTTTTATATATTTAAAAAAAATCTAATCAAATTTTGAATCCCGAATTAAAATCGGATTGTAATGTGAACTGAAAAGATTTGAAATCTAATCATGTTGTAGATAAGGGAAATCCATGACAAAAAAAGGGAAAATCAAACCGAAAAAAATTGAAACCAAATCATGTTGTAGATATTATATTCATTAAATAAGAATTGCATGGCACAAAAAACTGGAAATGCATGGCAGAGTTTAAAAATTCGAATTTTTCAAAAAATTACAACCGAAAGATTTTGGTAAAAAACCAAATATAAAAGAGGGAAATGACTTTAAAAAAGCGGGAAAACGAAATAATTTTTTTCGAGTTTTTTGAACAATTTTTCTTAACCGTATTATATATTAATAGATGTTAAATGAAATATGTGAGCTCCACCGCATTTTCATTTATATGATGGAGTTGCATTGGTATTAACATGGCACTTCCAATAAAATGGTGAGTCATTCAATCCAATGCACTTGCATAAAGCACAAAGACGGAGAGAGGCTAAAATAGTCATAAATCTCTCCAACACTTCTTGGTATACCAAAATTCTAAACACCAAATGCACACGTATAGTCTTCACACTGAGTCTTTATATTTTGTTGGTTTGTATACTAAAAATTTAGTTTTGTTACGAATTTATTGTTAATTTTTACTAAGAATAATTTCAATCAAAATTGTGTTTGCATTTTATTTATTTTAATAATAATGTGAATTGTTCTATTATTTTATATTTTAGACAATACGTTTCTTTTGTGTTGAACAACAAATCATATTATCGGTGCCCTATAAAATATAAATATGATTCATAACTTCGATAGAATTGAACTAATATCGTGAATAATTGTAGTGTAATTTAAAATTAGTTTATTTTGACTAGTGAATTACACTAGTACACTAAAAGTATATTGAATATGACCACAAAGGTTATGTTCATTTCATAGTGACTGTATAAGTGAACTAAATCTCAATTATTATTTGTACTATAAATTCGTAACATAATGACAGACATAGGTAGTCAGTATATGCTGCTCTACAAAGTGAGATCCATTTATTGAATCAATAGACTCGGTAAATTGTGTAGTAGTATTTTTTATATAATGTGATGTTGATTATTTACGAATCAATGTGTCTTGATGTGTTAGGTTATGATATCCTCAAAATGAACTCAAGATTAGTATGAAGTTAAATCCTTCATGTGAATAGTTATGACATAATATTAATAAGATTGAGTGATACTAGTTAATAAGATTAGTATGAAGTTAAATCTTTTTTCTTAGTATCTACTATCTACTTTCTTTCAGCTATCGGAAAGATTTTCATCTCTTGTCAAGACTCAAGTAGATCCTAGCAACCATGAGCAAGAAACCATATGCTCCACGAAAATGTATCTCAATCCTAAATGGAAGTAATAATAACGCAATAAGATCATCCACATTGTTTTATAAGTTTAGTTTTACTTATAATAATCGGTACATCTTCTATTAAGCTATCTAACTGTTAGACTATCAAATTCTTACAACACGTGTACTTTCATACTTTCATATTCAGATGTTATTATACTTTAAAATATAGTATATATATAAAAAAGAATGGCATTTCATACTATCAGTATTCAGTTTTCGTAAGAAAATATATTTACCTACCTATCAAACTGCCTAACATTTGTGATAGACTCGAGACTTAAACGCAACTGTACTATTTTGAAATAACTAGAGGAATAATAAATTAGACTCACTTCACTGTACTATTTTGATGTTTGGTTTAAAATGAGATATAATCAACTATATATGAAAAGTTTTATTAACACAATATATTTCACATAACACAACATTTATATTTCAGATTATTTTATTTGCATTAGAGTTGTTTGTTTTTTCAGAAAATTTAATATTCTATGTGACACTAAAAACTTTTTTCCAAATATACCCAAAAATTTAATACTAAAACTGTTTAGCACATAGTCATACATGTGAAGGACATTTCACAAAATCTTGAATAACACTGCAGTCAGCTTAAATTCATCCGAATTTGTAGCACCAAATCATGAATCCCTTATTTATAAGGTTTTCGACTTGCACAAGATCACGATAAACAATAGTTGAGATCAAATACGACTCACAGTAGGTAACCACCACATATTCACAAGTGGAGGGGACTGACACACAATAATAGCCTCCATATGTACTAAAGGAGACGGGCAAAATAACAACATCCTATGATTACTTAAACGCAAAAACACGGTTTTAAGCAAGTAAAGAAACGAAAGCCTTTCTCAGTTGTCCTGTTTAAGCATCCTGAGAATTGTAAGAAACAGGTTAAGCACGTCCAGGTAAAGAGTGACAGAGGCCCATATGTACTGATCGTATGTGAAGCGCTTAATCAGATTGTCTGTGTCGTAAACTATGTATCCCGAGAATATTATGGCACCAATTGCACTGTAGATGGCAACTGAGGTAGACCCAAACGGAAAGAACACCTACACCGCCGATGCAGAATATGGTTTTAAAAGGGTATAAATAAAGACGAGAATGGGTATAAATTACATAAACAGAAGGGACAGGTACATGTATGAATAGGGTTAAGTAGCAAGTATTTGCTTCCTTAATAAAGATAACACCATAATATTGAGGGAATTTGTAAGGGAAACAACAAAACTCAAACAATGGTCATATACTACTTCGAGGGGAGTAAATGTGATTCTAATAGATTATTGGGCATTTTTTGCAGTATGGCCAAACATAAATGGTAATCTTTATAAATAAATACTTTAGACAGACAAACAAACATAGACAAAGAGGAAACCTGGATAAAGCCAGTCAAGACCAAGACGAAAAGGCTAGTAAACAAGAGTGGTCCCATGAAGCTGAAGTCCTTGCCCTTCTTGGCAGCCCAGAAAGTATAAGCAGTCAGAGCTGAAACTACGGCTGATGTCAAGATCAAGGCTTCAAGCACAATTCTTCCTGTAAGCAAGTTGAAGTCAGAAAGAAAGACAAACATTATACACCGTTAGAAATTAGAATCTAGTTAGTATACCATTGAAAGTTACTAACTAACCTTCAGTGTTGGCACAGCTCACACCAACCGTCAGACTCAAAGATGCAGTAAAGAGCCCAAGGAAAACGAAGTTCAATGGGTGCTTCTGTTGGTAAACATGCAAGGGCCACAACACTATGAAGGATACAGATTCATTAGAAACATCAGGAAAAGATAGGATAAAAACAAAAAAGCATAAACATGTTCACGAGTCTCATGACAAGATATTCAAAATGCTACTGATATCGTGTGATGTGGATGAGATTATTCCAAAGTGATAGTACTATTTTTCTATAAATCATTATTGTCTTATTGTGATTAGTATTTCCAAAAAATTGATAGCAGCAAAAGACAACACTAAAATCTGATGAATATAATGTAAAACCAAACATATGGGCCACCAAAATAAGTTCACATATGTGTAAAGCATTACATTACGCACAAATTCTGGTATTCCAGAAAACAAGTATCGCACATTAAGTTAATGCAATCACCAATTCATCATGATAAAAAAAAATATTGAAGAATATAAACAATTCTAGCATAGAGAATATCGTTTCAACTTTCAAGTATTTTTAAATGTTAATTCTAGCAATACTTCCTCAAAAAACAATGAACTAGGGACATGGACCTCTTCCTCACAATCTTAATGCAAGTAACCCGATTTAGTTTATCATTATCTTGATGTATGGGAAAAGGCAAACTATGCATGCATAATAAATTACTGTTCACATTCAACCATTAAATCACGCTCTCACGTTTAACAACAAATAACCACCATATATTCTGCACAAGAACAGACAATTAGATAATATACATGTATCTACAACAACCGATAAGACAACGATTTGCATATCTGTTTGGAAGTTGGAACAATGTCGATTGATAAAGATACTGGAGCAAATTGGCCAAAAATTTGATTGAATTTGCCTTTAAACGTATTCGCAAAATCTAAAAGGAGAGAAAAAAAGGAATCAGATCTTAATATTGCCTATACAAGACGGAGCCACCTATTCACAAAACCAAACAACCCAGGGGTAATTTGTTATCCTTTTCAAATTAATAACAATATCGTTTGCATAACGTACCACGAATACAGAAAATCGAAGATCAAAACTGAATAAGGTTAGGCTCACATATGAAGGGGGTGAAGATGAGGAACAACAGCAGGCCTGAATTTCCGCGTAGGAGGTCGTTGATCGGAGCGTATAGCACAGTGGCGGCGGAAATGGCGGTGGTCATGAGGATCTGTGCCGTCAAGATACCGTAGACCTTGCGTATGAAGCCCCATCGCAGCTGATTCTCGGCGAGCCCGATCCCCGGATAGAGCATCTCCCCGGATTCCAGGTCAATATCTCCTCCTTTCATCCTGGCGGCGCCGCCGGAACTCACGCTGGTGTAGCCTTGCATCGTTCAAGGGGTTGGGGATCGACGAGGGATCTGATTTCTCACCTGTTTCTCTCTCTAGATGTTTTCTTTCTCTCTCTACAAGTTAGGATTAGAAGATTAGCATGAAAAAAATGATAAAATAATAGCATTTGGAAAATTACGCACCGTTCCAAAAATGGATCCAAACTAAAAAATAATAGTTGACCGATTGATTTTTTTTCTAACAGAATCGAATCGACAAACTACAAAATAATCATTGATCGTTTTTTTTCTTTTTTTTTTTAATAGAATCAAATTGAAAAAGTAATTAATATTGTTATGGAGATTTTACAAATATTAGTACTGATCAATGAACCAAAACATCTCATGTCGTACCAAACTGAATAACCGAAATTAAGGTCATGTTTGTTTATGGAATTTTTCAAAAAAGTTTCAACATTTTAACTCAATCATTTTTTTAACTCAACTTCACTATCATCAAAATTATCAATATAATTAAATAATATCAATCAATCATTCATACACACTACATCAACTTTAAATTCACTATTCATTCACTCACATTATTTTAGCTAACCATCACTTCAAATCTCTCTCTCCTACTTTTATATCAAATCAATTTTAATTATTTTATTATAAATATTATTTTAATATACCCATTAACAATTAACCATACTATTTTTTTCAAAATTAACCAAACCAAATCAAAAACTCCAAACTAAACAAATTTTTTTTTATAAACAAACATGTTCTAAGATTCGAATTTTAATATTAGACATGTCTTGTTCATATACATTACGTTAGCCTTAATCCTATATAACTTTAACATTTTTAAAATAACTTAGCAACATATAGTAATATCAATTAAACTTCACTTAAACTTTATGTTTATTAATACTTGATCTACAATTAATTGAAAAAAATATTTATATTATATTTGTGATACTTTTTTATTCTTATTCTATCATATAGTTAAAATGCTATGAAAAGGTAAAGAAATAATTAGTAAATGTATATTATATTTTATTTGAATTTTAAATTTCCATCATTAGTTGCACAAATTTTGTTTTAACTAAAATTTTGAGTTACTTTTGTATTTTCTAAAGTTGATTTCGAATAGAACTTTTGAGCTTGGTTCGTCTGTTTTCCAAATACCGTTGCTATATATACAATGAAACAATGAATAATAAAAGGCCACTTTTATTTTTGCTAGTGACATATGATTATATGAACCTATTTACAACAGACAATAATGCTAAGGAGCCAACTGTTGGCTCCGTTACGGAGCCAATAACCAATGGGACAGCTCCATGTGGGGTTGTGCCACATGGCTCCAATGTGGGACAGCCCCATTGACTGTTGGCTCCTTAACTTGACTGTTACAACAGAATGTAAATGGAATGAAAATTGAGGTTTTGCGCGTATGATCATACATGCATACTTTCCGTCTCTAGGCCAAAAACAAGAAGATAGAAATGGTGTAAGGATGTTTGAAATCGTTTTCACATTATCCAACAAGCATTTGGATTCTCATCATTGAACATCATGTGCATTTCGCCCTCTCCATAGTAATGAACCATCCAAGAATTCATCATGACTTGTTTGTTATTATCTTCTATTCTTTCCTCTTCGTCTTTTTTAGCATTTGGGTCCTCCAAAAATAGCAGCTCGACCCTCTTTCCAGTTTTCTTTTTCAATTTCTTCAATACTTTGTGCGGATCAATTTTTCCAGTTACCACCACTTTGTTGTTCGTCATATCGGTTACAATCTTCTCCACACCTATTTAAATTATTTCTATATAAACATCAACATCGTATATTACATGCATAAAGCCAGCTCATTCGAAAGACGAAATCTCAAATTTCTTATGTTATTTGATCATCTTATGTATGATAATTATATTAAAATTAGAATTTGGATGATGAATGAAAATGGTAGATACAAATTTATGAGAAATATTACTAGAGTTTGAGTATATAAACCTAGAGACAAAAGAATGTATATTAAATGAAAGAAACCTTTGATTTTGGAAATGACTTTTGCAACACTCTTTTCACATGCATTGCAATGCATGGAGATTTTGTATTCTGCCACCACATCCTGTTGATGATCATAACAAACGATTATGTATAATATTGTATGTCTAAACATGAAAAACACATGTTAATCATTAATTTATTTTTCTTACTTTCTTTCCCTTGTCTTTTTTCTTTTTACCACCCATTGAAATTCTGGAAAGGAAACAAAAGTAGTGGTGGACAAAGGTCTAGAGGCTAGTTAAAACAAACAACCCAAAATGGAAATGAAATAATAAAGAAACAATATTACATCAGGTAGTTCTTATTAGATAGCCAATGAAACATTTTTCGAAAACTATTATTGATAGATTTAAATTTGTAGTTCGTACATAATGAATTATTCTAAGCCTTAAAATAGAATTGAGGCTTACATTTCTTCAATATTTAAATGAGTCAGACTAGAACGACTATTCAAACTTTCTTATTATAACTAAGCACCTTTTAGTTAATTAATTATCTTGTAAGCAAAGCACAACTCAATTTCTTTAGTCACTTCAAATATGAAGATATTACAATTCCCACACAAATATTGAACATTGAAGACGATAAAGAAACGACCAAATTACAACACGGTTCTATATATTAACTAACCAAATGAAAAGGAAAAGTCGAAAACTTAAAAGAATGCCGTTTCTCGCACAACCAAGTCATCAACCCCTATATAGATCGCAGCAGTGCAGAAAAGCTGAGTCCCACCCAAAAGTATCAAAATAGTCTCCAGTGTTCTCTGAGAGCATAAACCAAACAAAAAAACAAATAAATAAATAAATAAATAACATTCATTAATTGGATATTCTTCTATCTATTTTCTTTAAATTACCAAATCCTTTACCAGGTTTGAATCTGTCCACCCTATATCGATCTCCTTGCATGCAAGTCTGCAACACATTGTATACAAGCCTTGTGTCATAGGCAAATTACAGAAATATCATAGGGGGAAAACAGAGTTTCAGAATTAGGGGCTGTTGTTATTAATTTGTAACTATTTTCATAATTGGTCATTTTATTCACCTTCAAGAAAGGGTAATGAAAAAAGTGAAAAGGAATGAAATGATTAACAAGATTATTATGGTACCCCATGGACAGCATTGTGAGTAACCAAGATATGAGAGAAGATGTAGCAGCTGCATGTAAATTTGGAGCATCCCATTGAATTACTTCACCAATTCCAGTAACTGATGTAGTAAATCCCACAACTCCAGCTATAAGTGAAAGAAGGACTACAAAACCAGTAGCCGAGTTTCCAAACGGGTAATATATAGGAAAAATCTGTGCTGGGAGAGACAACACAGACGCTGCAAAGGAACAAAAGCACAAAATTATATGACCATATATAATTTTAAACACATGTTAATGTTGTTGCTATACAAGAGGGTTATAATTACTACAAAATTGCCATAAAAGGCCTTTTTTGATGGAGTAAACATATTTTCAACTATGACAGAAAACTCGCTTTTTGCCGAATTTGAGTCAAGTTAGATAGAGAAAGAGAAAGGGAGAGTACCCATTTTGTGTGATCTTTCAATTCCATGGTTCACTGCCCATGAAGCAATAAAAATGACAATCAAGTAGAGAACAATATTGAGCACCAAGAGCATGAATGCTGCTGATTTGCTAGCACCAGAAGCCATCTCTATTCAATTATTATATTAGTAATTAAACTTGTTTTGGGATTTCAACATTCATGATTTATATATATGTAGAAGGTTTTATAATATTCCATTCTTTGCCACGACAATCATTAATTCTTGTTTTCATTACAAAAAAGAAGAGTATCTTCCATTTCAAGAAATGGCTAGAATTGATTCCTTTTGTATAGTTCCAGGTTTGCCTCAGGAAGAGGAAAAGAATCTCATGTTGTCCTAGTTTGAACAGGACAAAAAATGCATAAAGAGTAATATATTGATTTACCTCAACTGTTGAATGATTGCCTTGCCCTTCAATTAGAAATTACTGAGTTTCTTTTCCTTTAGTCTTCCAGATTCATTTCCTGATGAGTTGAGAATATGAGATGCTGATGCTTATTGATCAAAAATCAAAATGCAATAATTTTTATTTTACTAGAGCAACACAATACAAGTATTTAAATCATGATATAAAGTTATACATGTCTTTTGCCTTCATGTCACAGCAGATTAACTGAAATAAAATATATGGCATAAGAAATTATCACAAAATCCTTTGGGTCACTACATATATGAGCAAATCTAAATATATGCTGTATATCTATGCATGTATAAGTAGCTGATCGTATATCTATGAATATAAGATTGAAAATCTAATCTATTGGCCATCATACATCAACAGTTTAGCTCAATCAACAAAATGCATTTATACCACAATATTGAAATCGAACTCCTAGACTTCAGTATTCTGTCATGAATATGAACATGATAATCACAGGATATCACGAGACTTGTATGATATTACAATACCTACACGATATATCTTTGAAAAGGCATTCCCATAGAACTTAAGGAAAGTGGAGATACAAAAAAGCTTAGAAATGATGCGGCAAATCGGATCTAAGGGCCCCTGCATTTGATTATAAATCATTTCAACAGCCTGCAAGATTACAGAAAAGGCAGTAATCAGTAAAGTACTCGATCTAGCTAAAAGAAAATCTTCATGAAAAACAATGTTGAAACCTGAATTGACTGCAATTATTCACGAGCATTCAAACAAAAATGCATTGGTTCATCTAATACAATTGGACTGAAATTTACATATGAATCTTCCAAAAAATAAATAGGATGTTTCATATTTACTTTTTGCCTAAGTTTGGTGCAAAGAAGACTGCAACATGGACAAACAGCAAAAGAGATTTGACATGCGAAAAATCAATGAAATATCAAGCTTGATAAACCTATGTAGTCGTAAAGAAATGCAAACAAAACTCCGTGACCTTCAAAAGTTCATGCTTCAGGCCATGAAAAACTACTTGTCAGTGACTGATGTAAGCTGAATATCATCCATTTGGTGCAAAAATATCTGAGGTGGCAGTTCCCTGCCACACAAGAAACATTGATTGGTATAAGTGTTGTAGAGACATATAAGGAGTACAGTATCAGCTATTTAGCCTTAACTGAAAAAATAAAGTCATTGCCATCCTCCAAAATTTTTGTTAAAATCTAAAGGAAAAGGTTGCTTTCTTTCTTTTTTTGTTTTTTAATATGTTTTTGTTACATATAATTTTTAAAAGACAAGCAAGTCTCAACAATTTATTTGCCTGAACACCTTTCTAACAAATACTTGCAGAACACAATCAAGCTTTTAGCCAAAACTACCTTTAGTCATCATTTGAAAGAGATATTTTTTCAATAAACTTAAAATAATGAAATCTACAAGGCCTAAAGAAACTCAAATGTGTAAGGCAAGCCAAGTAACCTTTCATTAGCTTCCTGGTAAGTAAAACTTGATGCAACTGCCAAAAGCTGTCCATCATGGTTATAAGCCAGCGAAGCAACACTATTGGGATATCTTGGTAACTGAAAATACCAGTCAGAATTCAATAAGAAACCAGAAAAACTAAATGAAATATAAAGCAAAGAAATGCAAAAGACAAATGAGCTTATGATATAGATCAATGCTGGTAATTCAAAACAACAAAGATTTTCTCAAAAGAAATCATGAGTAGAGACATAGCATAATCCTTCATAGAGCATGCATAATTTTTACAATATGCTATTCAGTTGTTCTACAGGGAATAAAATCAATTAGACTAGCAAACAAATAATCTCGGATTATCTTGCTGGCTGATTTTGATATAAATCCATAAGAAAAGTTTATCTATTTGACACTTAACAATTTGATCCGATTCATTCCCCTTCACCAAGGTCCAAATTCAAATGAACACTCAATTTTTTCACTCACTAACAAATCTCATCCATTAAGAATTTTAATATACGGCTTTTTAAATTCCAGTTAAGATCAATTATACCTCCATTAAGTGTCTCCTGCTCTGAACATCCCACATTGTTGCATGACCCTCATTGTCACCAGTAATGACACCGCATAAGCTGGAAAACAAAAGGGAAAAGAAAAAAAAGGTGGTCAATTGATGCTAAAAATCCAATATAGTAAGCCAGAAGTGATTGTGAAACATACACTGGATTGAAAGCAATGTCATTTACAGCTACCAGATGATGTCTTCCATCTTTGCTCTTTGGATGGCATTTGAATGCATACCTGCATAACTCCAAGATAAGTGAAAAGCATCAAAGGTGCTGGAGATACACTGAACTATAAGGAAGTCAAATTATTTCCGAGTCTTATCCATTTTAATATGCAAGGCATTAATTTCAAACCCTTCATTTTTTAGAATAAATGAGACAAACTCTGAGTGCAACTCAATAATTCAGAGTGGAGAGAGTACTTCAAATAATTTAAAAGGAATTTGTCCGTATATGTAGATTTGTAGGCATAGAAACCCTGTACATCTAGAGACACACCTAAATTAATCGCATTGTTTCCTTGGGAAGAAGGGACAGTCCCCAGATATTTTGGGTACCACATCTGGGCCTATTCTGTACTCAATATCTAAATTAAAGTATTTAAGGATCATTATTTTATAGATCCACATGCAACATACAACAAATATAAATTAAACAAAATGAGAAAACATGAAATGGTATGAGATATATAAAAGTGAGGATCTTAGATGGAAATAAGATGTTCAATGCTTTGTGCAGGATCATAATTGAAAATTTGAATTTCTAAAGTTCGTATTTTTCTATTACTGAATTTCAACCAACGGTTATCATGAGAAAAACATATGCTGCTCATATCTGTTGTCGGTAAATGGAGTAGTCCTAATGCATACGGGTAAACATTACAAAAGTTGGGGATAATAACTTATACTGACCCACATTTCTGAGAGCCGGAATCACCAAAATATTCCAACGCAACCCTCCCATCTATAGATCCAGTCATAAATCCTGCACGAGTAGGTAGGATAACTGAGATTGTATCAGAGATTATAGCAAAGGATTCAAAGGGATTTTCCTAATAGCACTTTTAAAAGGTCTACCCCTGACGAAAATAAATAGGTGTAAATATTGTCCATTTATTGAAAACGCAAAATATATGAGAAACAAACACAGGATGCTACTCCAACCAATCGTTATAACTTGAATGAAATCATGAGATATTTGAGATAAATAAGCTAAACTACAGTACCTCCTAAATTTGAATTTGAGCGGACACAATTTACATGGATGTCTGTGAAAGGTTCATTAACCCGAACCTCCCTATCTAAGTAACGCAAGTCATATATATGCACTGAAGACTTGAGAGCAACCATCAAATTGAAAACAGAAATTGACATAGAATCGACCCCTGCAACAAGATTACTCAAACATCCTATAGAACTGCCTGACCGTGCATCCCAAAACTTTATGCTGTTATCCCAACCAGAAGTAATGATTTGACCTGCAGACAAAACAATAGTCTAGTAAAAATTTTATCATGTTTGTGAATAGAGTGCAAAACCAATATCTTGTTGATTTCACACAAATTACAATTTTATGCTATTTTTCTTTCTTTTTTTTTTCATTTTAAAAAGATGTTTTAAAAAAAAAAAAAACCCTTTATTAAATTTTTTAGTATCACAAACCCCCAGAAGCTTAAATCATTCACCTATTGGTTATCAAATAAATAGATAAGAGTAAAGAATTTATGAAGAAGGTCCCCAATGTGCTTAAGACCACAAATTATTGAGCCAAGCCAACAGACACAACAGCAACAGGTGACATATATTTTGTACAAATTATAAGTGATATTCGGTGTTATCCTTATCTTACATGTTTCCTCAGAGTATTCAACACAGGTTGCTGCATCATCATGTTTTCCTATTGCATTGCTGTTCCCCAATCGCATATCATACCTAACGAAATTTCAAATCAAATGTCTCACTAATTAGAGCATTATCATACCAAAAGTTAATCAATGAGCTGACAAATACATATGAAAGATTGTGAAAAAAAAAAAATAAAAAAAAATGAAGCTACAGCTTGGTCAATCTTGACCGTCACCCAGAACTGAAATTAATAGCAGATTTAACCATATCAAACATCAAAAAACGCAAATACAAAATATCAAATGACAATTGCTGAAAATCCCTTAACCTGACAACTGAACCATCAGAATTAGCCGTTAGAGCCACCGACTCACTCTCGAAACAACAATCGAGAAGGGCTGCGCCTCGGGTCGTCGGAGTTTCCAATCGGACCTCGGATTCATCCACGTCATAAAGTCGAAGAACCTGCTCGAAAGAAAATGATATGCCCACTCTTAATTACAAATCCAACTACAAAAAATACGTTCACATTTTACAAATCAGGAGCTGCAAACAAAGGTTTCTAAAGTTAGCAATGAATGGTAGTACTTGCCGAGTCCCATGAGGAAATGAGGAGATTGTTCGAGGCGGGAGCAAACCGGATCCTGGAAATGGCGTCTCGGATCGGGTTATCGAAGCTCAAACAAGTGCCGTTCATGGTGGGAATCAACAAAATTATCGCAGTGGGGCGTGAGATTTGGATGAGTCCACAAATTGCATTTCAATTTTCAAGTTTTTAAAGGGTTCCAACAATTTTGAGTTGGGTTGATGTAATATATTGGGCCTTCTCCTTATCGGGTCCTAGGATTTAGTTGATTTAATAGCCCAATCTCGAATCCTTTAGCCACCTTACTAAAGTACAATGTAATGGGCCACACATTTATGCTACTCAAAGTCTGGAATAGGCAAGAGTTTCATGAAAGCCAAAAATAAATTTTAGACCTGAAAACCGGGACATCGGAACGAACTAAAAGCAACTGGTTTGGTTGGGTAGTTATGTAATTAGTAATATAAAAATAATATATATTTTGAATTGTAAAAAATTTATAATATAATACTCTATACTTAATAGTGTATGATATGAAATTGAGGATAGTTTTAATTTGTTCCACATAATATTTAGGATTATATTTTAATGCAATTTAATCTATTGAAATAGTTTGCATCTCATTTATTAAATTTTTTATTGATAAGTTAATATTTTGTTTACCTATTTAAATATATTTTGTTTAGGTTTTATTTTTGAAAGAGTTTTATTTTTGTTAGAACCCAATTTTATCTGAGATATTTAATTGTGATTATAGTTAATTGAGATACTTAATTGTTATTACAGTTTTGCCATTAAAAATAATAAAAACACAAGGACTTTTTAGTCAGTATAATTTTTTACAAAATCATTCCCCCCTTTCCTAATAGTATAGACAGATAGTCATTCAAGAGAGAGTGTTATAAAATATCCATATATGTGAATGATTTTTAACTCTGATGTAGTTGTATTATTAAGATTGTACTATCAAAAGTTTCTTATAAATATAAGTTTAAATTATAATGAAAATCAACCAAGAAAATACATTCTCTCTATTCTCCCTCATTCTCTATATTTTTATAACAATATGATTTTCTTTTTTATTATTATTAAGTGGAATATGAAATTTGCACTACTCATACGCAACAAAATGGAATCACGATAATATCTGTGTTTTTACACATTACTGACCCTTAATTTTCAACCAACACCACAAAATATAACAATATGAAGAGCAGCGCTTACTATATTATAAAATCCGGTATTTTTCTATTTGAAATTTTACTCATTACCGAGCATTAACTAATGTATTTTGTAAGCCAGTTTAACAAATCCAGGTGAGATTCTTGAGCACTCTTGACAGCAAATTCATCATCATCCTTGTATCTCACTGTCCATCCATGACCAACACCAGGAAATATCTTCACAAAGCTATCGACCTACAAGATTATAAAAGTAATATTTTTTTCCCGAAAGTCGATCGAATAAAATAGGAACTACCCTAAAAAAAACCCAAAAACTAACTCCTCATGAAAATTTGTGGAGGCAAAGTTTTAGAACATCACAAGATTAATGCTTTCACAAAAATTACAGCATTTATGTAAATGCACCAAAATGAATGCATTTTTTACCTCTGCTTTTGCTGATAAAATATCTCCTAGTTTTTTCAAGAGCTCAGGTGGTGCGTGCTTGTCGATTTCTGCTCCCAATATTGCAATTGGAATCTTGACTTCTAAAATCCACGGTATGACAAGCAAATGAAATATTTATATTATATAGATGGTTAAATGTTAAAATAACATGATTAACTTTTGAAAAATTGAGGACTAATATATCGAAATATAACCATTTATTTCCTCTTCTGTAATGGGACCTGGATGCAACAAAACTGCTGTCTGTATGCAGTCAAATTTGGCCAATCTCACTGCAACCATCCCTATAACCAAAGGCAACAGAATCCAATTTCTCAAAATATAATGATTTGTCCAAATAGTCAACAATATATATATATATATATATCAATATATATATAATAAGAATTAACATTTATCAAAAATAGTAGCAAAAAAATAGTCAGAATTTAATGCAGCCTATAAATAGTAAGTTTTATTATTTTTCTTATTTTTTTCTTTAAAAATCATACAGCATTAAATGTTACCTTAAATTTCAAGCTTTAATTCATTTTATTATTTAAAAAATCCGGCTAATATTTATTAAGTGTATATGTTTTTAATTTTATTTTTTTCGTAGAAACAACGAACAATATTAAAATCTCGGTCTCTATATTTATAAAATCTTAATTCAAAATATAACAAAAGTTTTAGAATCTCGGTCTTTATATTTGTGCCTTTTAAAAAAAATTGAACGCTAAAAATATTCTTTAAATTGCATAATCAATCAAGTAATCTTAATTTTATAAAAATTACTATGCTTATTTTTTATAATATGCATAAAGTAAAAAATAATTAATTCATCTTTATATATATAATTTATAATCTTAATATACTATCATTTGGTGTAGCCATTTATTATATGAATCATAATATATTTTTATTTTATAAAATTAAATATATTTAAAGAAAATAAAAAAATTTCTTCGGATCAATCGGGTAATTGAATTAGGGTACTGCCCAGGTTGATTGAATTACTTTTATGTGATATTTAAAATAGTCAAAAAACTTGACACAACTTGGTTGGTCCCAAGTGACTACGTTATGTATCAATTCGACCACACCAAATCGATTATTGAACCTAAATATAGATTTTATATTGAAAATATTTTATTACGTGAATGTGATGTAGTCAAAACTTCAAATAATCGTATTAACAATACTTTTATGACAACACTAGTACAGAGCCCGTGCGATGCACGGGGTGCACAATTTTAAAGTTATTTATCCAGGCTTATAATTATATACATGAATAAAGAAAAATGTACGGGATATATATATAGTACGTGACCCGTGCGAAGCACAAGATATATTTATTTGGAGAATATTATATTATAAGATGCAATATTCAATAAAAGTTTATAATACGCAAGAAAATTGTACAATGTTCAATAAAAGTTTTATAATATTCAAGTGGAGTCTTAAAGTCTCTTGTACATTAAGACTACTGACAAAATAATATTTTAATCAATGAGTTTCCTTTCCTTGTAGCCAAATTGTGAATGTGATTTGAGGAGTACAACAAATCGATATATAGCTGACTTGCTTTTTTCATTGTATTTTTTTTTTTTTTTTTTTTTATAATGAATTTAAAGATATTCTAAAATATAGCAAAAATTAATTTTTTTATTACAATTAGGAATTTTACTAAATATAAACTCTCAATCTATGGTGTTAATCAACGTTTAAGTCTAAAAAATTAGGAATTTTTACCTCTTTTAATCAACGTTTAAGTCTAAAAAACAATAGAGTTATTATAAGTTTTTTTTCTACATCTTTTAAAACATTAAATATGAGCATGTTAGGGCTAGCTTGTAAAATAATTAATATATTATCTCACTAAAACATTTATACTAATAAAAATTTAATTTTAGCATATAAATTTATCCCTTGATATAAGAGAAAGTAACAGTTTTACTTATTGTTGTTCACCATATAATATTTAATTATTATTTTATTATATAATAAAAAAGAAATATTGTTAAATAGTGTAGTAGAATTGTTATAAAATTATATGATTTTTTTTTTACAATATGGATTTAATATTTTTTTATGATTTGATAATATAAACAAATCTATACTTAACTTTGACAAATAAAACAAATAAATACTTTAGTAAGTATTTAATGTATATACTAAATAGGAATATATTTGGTATAATCAAATACCAAATATAATCAAATAAGTCAAAGTTTACATTTTTATTTGGTATTTGATTTTTTTATTATTAAAATCTTTTTATTATACTTACCTTTTTAAAATAAAACAAATAAATAAATTAATTAAATAAATAAAATATTATAATACCAAAATAGTAATGACATTTAATGCAGTTGACTTTTCTGGATAGTAAATGTAGTAAATAGAATCTCCTTTTATATAAGTATAGATTGTATAATACGGAAATAGTAATGCAATAAATGTTGTTGACTTTTCTTTATACTAAATCTGGTAAATGGTATACCTTTTAATATAAGTATAGATGTTTAATGATTTATGAATATTTATATATCATTTTATTAATATTTATGTGAATTAAATAATATTTTATTATAATATTTATTAATGTATAGTAAATATAAGGTTTTCAAACAATCAAGCTATTTTATTAAATCGTTTGTGGTTTGTTTAGATTTTAATTTATAATCAATTTAAAAGATGTATATATATATATATATATATAGTAGTTTTTGTAATAAATTTAAATAAAATGTGTTACTTAGATATCTAAACAATTTATAAATTCAAGTGTTTAGATAAATAATTTATAAATCTCTATTTTATTTATATATGTAGTTTTATTTAAAATAATTTTAAATATAACAAAATTTATTTAGAAAATCGTATCGATCCTACCAGTCCAACCGACTGGTGTTGACGGATTTGAGATCAAATATTTTATTCAAGCAAACTAGACTGATTATAAACCGGTTCTCAGTCCATCCGGTCGAACTGTGTCCAACGCAGTTTAATTTAAAAACAATGGATAAATCATAATTAATGTTATTTTATATTTAATTTATAATACAATTTTAATATTGTTTTTCTGTGCATCGCACGGGCCACACACTAGTTCTAATATAAGATCTATAGTATAAGATTGTACAAACTTCTTAATATGTTTTAAGCGGATATTTGAAGCCATTCCTTAACATTTTTAAATTTTTTACATCTTTTATGGAATTGAAATTTCATACCAAACCTCGGAAGGTATCTGTAATTTTATAAAATCCTCTACATTTTCTAGTTTTTGCAATTATATAAAAGAATAAGAGAAATTTACCTCCCCAACAGAAACCTGCTACTCCAATTTTGGACACTCCTTTGCTTCTTAAGTCATCAATTACAATCTTGGCATCCTCACAACCTTTGTCCTGTAACAATAGCACTAGAGTTTTAAGGAAGTTTGACAAAATATTAGAACAATGTTTCTCTTGTGCAATCAGACAAATGAATTTTGAGTTTTTTGTTAAACTTCACAATTGATTAATTCAGATGTGGAGATCAGTAGTACAACCCGGAAAAAATTTACATTTTTATTTGGTGAACAGGGTAGGTCAAAGGCAAATACTTCAAATTGAATCTCATATTATTGCAACTACATAGTACAAAAGAAAAGGATAATTAGAAAAAAAGGTCAGATGTTTAATAAATAAAGACAATGCATTATTAAAATTTTCATTAAACTCTTTATATGTACTTGTTTTATTTTCTTATGAATGCACAACTCTTGATTCTTGAAGGTGCATCCACTTTTTACAACGCATACAGAAACTTAAAGAGCATTTGTATATAAATTTTTCCTTCTGGTAATTAGAAGGTAAATTTTATAAACAGCTTTGTGAGTATGTCCTATTTTATCTTTACATTATTGCAATTTTGTTTTGTTTTTTTTTTTTTTCATATATTACAATCCTGTATTCGCCAATGATTACAACTAAATAGCAAGAATGGCTCAACACTAACCGGACTATGAGCCTCTAGCCATGATTCTCTAGACTTTTCAAGGCCAAAAGGATCACCATAGAAAAAATCAGGAGCCACTACCAAGAAGCCTGAAGCTGCAATTTTGTCTGCAAGTTTCCTATATAATGAAGCAAAATATTAAAAAATTATATCAATTTAGACTGTGATCGTTAAAACATGATGAGAATAAAGTACAGTTGGATTTCAAGCACCAACTCCCTTACTTTATTAACTGACTTTCAAGTTTAGAAGTAGCTCCAAAACATACCTCTCAAGTTTTACTCAATTGTAAAAACACAACAAAAAACTTTGATCTTTTGACAATTTACACTAATCGTTGTGCTTGCATCAGTTTCTGGCATCATGTTGGACTTGAGACAACAAACAAACTAATATTGAATATAAACTAAGGCTTATAATGGGCTAACAAAGAAAACAAAAATTGACCACTTCGGGCATTAATCCACTAATACCATCAAGATTCAAACTAAGCCTTAAAAATACACAAACCTAACAAACTAAGAAATAGAATAACATGTAATGCATGAAGCAAAATAAACACAAACTAATGATTGTATGACATGGCCAAGCTGGAGTTGCATTTTTACCACATTTTGTAACTTACAATTACCTTGCTTAGTTTTGCTATACATTGCAAATAGACATACGGAACACAGAAGACTATATGTAATATTGTGAAAAATTTTGAGGATGTAATTGTAAGTCAGCTTAACTAAAGATTGATACATAAGTGCAAGATAGAATCTTCACTTGAAGGATCTGTTTGAAAAATAAAATCTTTTAGATTCATCACTCGGAATATCTGAAAATAATCAACGTAGAACTATAATAATTAACACCCCCCCTTGATACTTTTGAAAGATCTGAAAACTATCAATTTGAAACCAAAATAGTTAACATCCTCAATACTCTTTATATAAATAGTGACCAAGCTGCCAATAAGATAAATAATAAACATTCAAATATAAATAAAAATTAAAATGCAACGGAAAACATATATATGCTTCGGTCTCGTTTTCATTTTGGCCCGGAGCAGAATTTTACAAACCTTTTTTCATTCATTTTTCTGTTCTTATTTATATTCAAATATTTTTAATTTATAAATCTTTGTATTTTGATAATTGGTGTAGCTTGTCTCTATGGTTCTTGAGACCACATACACCCTGAAGAGGTATTAAGGGTGTTAACTTTTATAATTTCAAATTGAAAAGTCTCATATTCTCGAATCAAATTGATAGTTCATCAATCTTAAGAACTTAAAACGATAAAACTTATTACGCTTGTACCTTAAGTTCACAAATCAACAAAATAAACAATATAAGTATGAAGTCAAGTAGCATTATATGTTTTCCCTCACAAAAGAGAAGAAAAATAAATTAGACAAAGACAAAATGAAGACTTAATTCTACACCTAAATGCAAACTCAATAGTCAATACTAAGCATCATCTGAAATATCAAATCTAAATCAAATAAAAAAACTACACATACCTCAAGTTTGGAGCTTCATACCCTGGAAAAATAAAATAAAATAAAATAAATTCAAGTCCAAATTACTATAAATGCTGAAAAAGCTCAGAGATTGCAGGCCAAATTAAATATACCAATTAAAAATTAATCATAAATTGATTTACAAAAATAAATTCATTTTACCAAAGGCATCAGAAAGTAGGAGGACAGCAAGCTTAGAATCCTGATGACAAGAGACATATGCCTTTCGGCCTCCAATTTCTTCAATATTGCCTTCTGCAGATGATGAGCCGAGCGCTGGTGGATTCTCAGTGCCCTGAGGGCCTAACATTTTTTATCTTTTATTTTTTTAGTATTTTCGTTGATAGATTTTGTAAGAAATATATAATCTGCTGTTTCCTTGCAGCTTCATTGCAATAGCAATGCAAATTCCTTGCAGCTGCACAGCACCTTCATAGCAGCCATTATGGGCTGATTTTTCAGCTTAAGTAATTTCTAGGAAAGTCACTAGGTAGTTGTTTTTAGTTCTTATAAATAGGGATGTAGTTTTGTATTTGTAAACACAGCAAAAACTGAATAATCAATACTTTGAGTTGTTCAATATCTTCTTCTATCCTAAAAGTGTCCGTTTGTGTCGGGAAGCATTTTTGCTTACACGAACAGTGCATCCTAGCTGCAAATAAAGACGAGCAGGGACTAACAAGTGGTATCAGAGCCATGGCAAGCCAAGATGCTGCGTCGATGGTGCAAGGGAGCGGTGCACACGCTTCACCGCGCCAGGAGGTCATCATCCACAGGACCGTACGGGACGTTGGCGGGGCCAACTGGCCGGTCCTCACACGCACAAACTATGGCGAGTGGGCGGTGCTGATGAAGGTCAAGTTGCGTGCGCGTAAGCTATGGCGGGCCATTGAAGAAGGCACCGAGGATGAAGAAGAGGACTGTGCAGCGATGGAAGCGATTCTATCCGCTGTGCCTCACGAGTACGTGGAGTCGCTGGGCGTAAAGGACTCCGCAAAGGCTGCTTGGGACGCCCTCAAGGCCATGCGCATCGGGTCTGATCGCGCAAAGAAGGCGAAGGCGCAGCAGCTGCGGCGGGAGTATGAGGCGCTGGTGTTCCGCGACGGCGAGGCAGTGGAGGATTTCTCGCTCCGTCTGCAGTCGCTCGTCAGTCAACTGGCGGCGCACGGCGTCACCATCACCGACGAGGAGGCGGTCGCGAAATACTTGCGTGTCGTGCCACCTAAGTACGCCCAGATCGCGCTCTCCATCGAGACGTTGATCGACATGTCCACCCTCACGATTGAGGATGTGACTGGGCGCTTGCGGGCGGTCGATGACCGTGTGGAGACGGCGACGATAACTACCAGCGGCAAGTTACTGCTGACCGAGGAAGAATGGGCAGCTCGTATGCGCGAGAGGCGGCCCGGGGAAGGCTCCTCCAGCCGTGGCGGCTACGGCAAGCGTCGTAGCAAGGCCCCGCAGAAGAAGAAGGACGGCGACAACGTGCGTCCGATCGACAAGGACACTTGTCGACGCTGCGGGAAGACAGGACACTGGGCCCGGGATTGCAAGAATCCCAAGAAGGAGAAGAGGGAGGCACACCTCGCGCAGGTAGACGACGAGGAGCCAACTCTTCTAATGGCAACGACCTGCAAGTTGCACGACGTTGAGCCAGAGTTAGAGGAAGTCAAGGCGGCGGTTGCAGAGCAGGGGAAGGCACTACAGGTCGTTCACCTCGACGAGTCAAGTGCCCAAGTCCACCTTGGACGAATGGGCGGTGGCATGGAGCAGAGGTGGTACCTAGACTCCGGCGCCAGCAACCACATGACCGGCTCCAAGGAGGCCTTCTCCGAGCTTGATGACGGCGTGACGGGGACGGTGAAGTTCGGAGACGGCTCAAAGGTGGAGATTCGAGGTCGCGGCAACGTCATCTTCCGGTGCCAGAACGGCGAGCACCGCGCATTGACGGATGTGTACTATATCCCGCAGTTGCGTTCAAGCATCGTCAGCATCGGGCAGTTGGACGAGCACGGCTGTGAGGTGCTTGTCAAAGGCGGCGTGCTAAAGCTCAGGGACCGAGACCAGCGGCTGTTGGCCAAGGTCCAGCGTTCCCGGAACCGCCTCTACCTCCTCGACTTGAAGGTGGAGCAGCCAGTGTGCTTGGCAGTACGACACACCGAAGAGCCATGGCTATGGCATGCTCGTTTCGGCCATTTGAACTTCGACGCACTCGGCCGGCTGAGGAAGATGGTGCGCGGGCTCCCGCACATCGAGCACGCAGGCGAGCTGTGCGACAGCTGCCTGGCAGGGAAGCAGAAGCGGCTGCCCTTCCCAAAGGCGGCCAAGTATCGTGCGGCGGACGTCCTAGAGCTCGTCCACGGCGACCTCTGCGGGCCGATCACACCGGCTACGCATGGCGGACGGCGCTACTTCCTGCTGCTCGTGGATGACTGTAGCCGTTTCATGTGGCTGCAGCTCCTGACGAGTAAGGATCAGGCAGCAGAGGCAATCAAGCGGTTCCAGGCGCGAGCCGAGGTAGAGTCTGGGAAACGGCTGCGCGTGCTGAGGACGGATCGCGGTGGCGAGTTCACATCGGTGGAATTCGCTGCGTACTGTGCAAACCAGGGGGTGGTGCGCCATCACACTGCGCCGTACTCACCGCAGCAAAACGGTGTAGTGGAGCGGCGGAATCAGACCGTGGTGGGCATGGCCCGAAGCATGATGAAGGCAAAGGGCATGCCAGCGGAGTTCTGGGGAGAGGCTGTGAGCACGGCAGTGTTCATCCTCAACCGTGCGCCCACAAAGGCCCTGAAGGGCATGACGCCATTCGAAGCTTGGCATGGTAGGCAGCCCGACGTCTCGTTTCTAAGGACGTTTGGGTGCATTGGCCATGTGAAGAAGACGAAGCCCTTCATGTCCAAGCTTGAGGATAGGAGCACACCGATGGTGTTCCTAGGCTACGAGGAGGGGAGCAAGGCCTATCGGCTCTACGATCCACGTGGAGGCAAGGTGGTGGTTTCGCGGGATGTGGTGTTCGACGAAATGGCGGCCTGGGATTGGGAGAATCCTGGCACGGGGGAAGCCCGTGGCGTTGGCGGTACGTTCGTCATCGAGCATTTGGTGATCCACGGAGGAGGAGATGTGGGAGTAGAGGAGCCAGCTGCGGACGCGCCAAGTCCAACAGCTGTGGCGGCGTCGGATGAGCCGCAAAGTCCTGCCATGACGGGCACGGGCGAAGAATCTCCACCAGTGGCTGCACACACACCCTCACCACATTCCCCTACTGCGGCAGGACAGGGGACATCTCCGACGACAGTTGAGTTCGCCTCTCCTCCAAGCGACATCGACGAGTATGTGGATGCCTTCCACGACGGCGAGGGGGTGAGGTTTCGCAGGATGGACAACCTTGTTGGCAACTCGGCGGTACCAGGCTTAGCGAGCCGATTACTCGATGATCAGGAGCTGCTCCTCGTCAGCGCAGAGGAGCCATCGACTTTCGCGCAGGCCGAGGGAGATGTCAATTGGAGACGAGCTATGCTAGAGGAGATGAAGGCGATCGAGGAAAATGAGACGTGGGAGCTCGTCGATCCACCTCCAGGCTGTCATCCAATCGGGCTCAAATGGGTCTACAAAGTCAAGCGGGACGAGTGTGGCGCCATAGTCAAGCACAAGGCGCGCCTCGTTGCTCGCGGTTTCGTCCAGCGAGAGGGCATCGACTTTGAGGAAGTTTTTGCACCAGTGGCGCGCATGGAGTCAGTTCGCCTACTGCTAGCCATGGCGGCAGCAAAGGACTGGCGCATTCATCACCTGGACGTGAAATCGGCCTTCCTAAATGGAGAGCTAGCGGAGACTGTTTTCGTCAAGCAAGCCCCGGGCTTCGTCGTCAAGGGAAAGGAGCACAAGGTGCTACGGCTGCGGAAGGCACTCTATGGGTTGCGACAAGCCCCGCGAGCGTGGAACGCCAAGCTCGATGCCACTCTGGGTACGCTTGGGTTCACGCGCTGCGAGACTGAGCACGCGCTCTACACGCGACGACGGGGGAAGGAGGAGCTCGTCGTCGGCGTGTATGTAGATGACTTGATCATCACCGGGGCACGAGAAGGGGACATCAACGGTTTCAAGCACGAGATGGCAGCTCGTTTCCGCATGAGCGATCTCGGGCAGCTCTCCTACTACCTCGGCATCGAGGTGAAGCAGGGGAGAGACTCCATCACTCTCTGCCAGCGTGCGTATGCGGGGAAGCTGTTGGAGCGGAGCGGCATGGCTGACTGCAAGTCATGCGCGACTCCAATGGAGGAGCGGCTGAAACTGACGAAAGCCAGCACCGCGGAAAAGGTGGATGCAACACTCTACCGGAGTATCGTCGGCGGGCTACGCTATCTAGTCCACACGAGGCCAGATATTGCATTCGCCGTGGGCTATGTCAGTCGTTTCATGGAGGACCCCCGAGAGGATCATTGGGCTGCGGTAAAGCGGCTGTTGCGCTATGTCAAGGGGACGGTGGACCAGGGCATCATCTTTCCCAAGACCGGCGGTGGAAGTGGGCTGCGGCTCACGGTTTTCAGCGATGCAGACATGGCAGGCGACATTGATGGGCGGAAGAGCACCTCCGGTGTGCTCGTCTTCCTTGGATCAGCCCCAATCTCATGGCAGTCGTTGAAACAGAAGATCGTGGCGTTGTCTACGTGCGAGGCGGAGTACGTGGCGGCAGCCACAGCGGCATGTCAGGCGGTCTGGCTGCGTAGGTTGCTGGGCGAGCTGACCGGCGAGGAAGCTCGTCCACCAGCTCTGATGGTGGACAACCAGCCCGCCATTGCCCTTGCAAAAAATCCAGTCCTCCATGACCGGAGCAAGCACATCGATACCCGTTTTCACTTCATCAGGGATTGTGTCGATGAAGGACATATTGTTTTGGAGTTTGTCGAATCCGGACGGCAGCTCGCAGACATCCTTACCAAGCCACTCGGCCGTCTTCGGTTCATGGAGCTGAGGACCAAGATTGGAATGATAGGAAACAAGGAAGAGCAGCATGATTAGGGGAAGAATTGTAAGAAATATATAATCTGCTGTTTCCTTGCAGCTTCATTGCAATAGCAATGCAAATTCCTTGCAGCTGCAAAGCACCTTCATAGCAGCCATTATGGGCTGATTTTTCAGCTTAAGTAATTTCTAGGAAAGTCACTAGGTAGTTGTTTTTAGTTCTTATAAATAGGGATGTAGTTTTGTATTTGTAAACACAGCAAAAACTGAATAATCAATACTTTGAGTTGTTCAATATCTTCTTCTATCCTAAAAGTGTCCGTTTGTGTCGGGAAGCATTTTTGCTTACACAAACAGTGCATCCTAGCTGCAAATAAAGACGAGCAGGGACTAACAGATTTTTCTTTTCGGATTGCTATCTTTGTTTTTTGCTAAAAGCAGCTGTTTTATTTTGAACACATAGTGGTGAGACTTTCCTACAACGTTGACTAGATGCACCTACCTTTTCAACAAGATTATGTCATGGCTTGCATCACAGACCAGCAATGGAGCATTTGAGAAAAAAAAAACAGAAGCTTAATTGCAAAAGAGTCTTGCTATCTTCCAAAATCACAAATACCACCGAGTAATTGATTCCTCTATTCTACAAATACTCCTCACAATAGGCTCAATTTCTAAAATAGAAACAAATCTAACAAAAATACAGCTGAGTGTATTTTCATCTGTAACACAGCCTAAAGCAAAAGCCTTTTTCTACTAACATACCTCCAATTTCCATAGCACAAGCTTTATTTCTCAAAACCAAAAATCTCACACAACGCCACTATAACCCGGGCACCTCGAAAGCTTCCCCACACGCATTTCCCTTCTCACAACAAAAGCATCATCCCACCTCCCCACATCTGCATAAAGGTTCGAAAGCAAAACTCTACTCGGCCCATGCGTGGGCTCCACGTCAGCCAAATTCCGAGCTGCCCTCTCTCCTATATCCGTGTCTCCATGCACTTTACACGCAGCCAACAGCATACCCCATATGATGACATCAGCCTTCATCGGCATACTATTTACGAGCTCCTCAGCCTCTCTCAACCTCCCTGCCCGACTCAACAAATCCACCATGCACCCATAATGCTTAATATTCGGCTCTAAACCATAAACACATCTCATGCTCTTAAAATGCATTTCCCCTGTTTCCACAAGTCCAGCATGGCAGCACGCGCTCAGCACACCTATGAACGTGATCGAGTTGGGACTTATTTTTCGCCTCTGCAGATCTGAAAAAATCTTCAAACACATTTCCACATGGCCGTGCATGGCTAGGCCACATATAATTGAATTCCATGGCGAAACCTCTGTTGCTTGCTCTCGAAAATTATAAAACGTTTCCAAAGCCAAATTTATGTTCCCGCATTTGGCGTACATGTCGATAATAGCAGCACTCAGATTATTGTTGATTGTGATTCTATTCCTGCAAATATAGTCGTGGGCCCGTTTACCCTCGTCCAGAAGGCCCAGGCCCGATATAGCAGAAAAAACGCCGATCATCGTAATCTCGTTCGGCTCGAACCCCTTTTCCACCATCTCGTGAAAGAGCTCGACGGCCAAATTAAGCTGCCCGTTTTGCGAGCAGCCAGAAATCATCGAGCTCCATGAGAAAATGTCTCTTTCATGCATTGTGCTAAACTTTTGCACGGCCTCATCCACCATCCCGTTTCTCATTAGACCCGATATAAGCGCGTTCCAACACGCCACATGCTCGCTACTTCCTTCTTCGAACTGCAAAACGGCGTTTTTAATTTCTCTACAGGCTCCGTAAAAATGAACTAACGTCGCCTGCATGAAATGGTAAAGGTTAAAACCAGTTTTCATCGCGAGACAGTGAAACTGACGCCCCTCGACGAGCTTCCCCGCCTGTCCACAGCAAGAAAGTAAGTCGACTATCATAACTTCATTAGGGGCCAAGCCTGTGTGAGTCATTCGGTTATACAGATCGAGAGCCTCACCCAATCTCCCGGCTTGCACGTACCCGTCGATAATCGTGCCCCATGAAACCACATCTTTTTCAGAAATGTCTTCGAAAAGACCCCTCGCTAGATCGAGCGAACCTGCTTTTACATACCCGTTGAGCATTACATTCCAAGAAACTACATTTTTTCCCTCCATGTTAATAAAAATGGCCTGCGCGTCATTCAAGCACGAATTCATGGAGTAAAGGAGGATTAAATTTGTCGAAACAATAACGTGCCTGACGAGGCCGAGTTTCAGGGCCAGCCCGTGCAAGAACTTTGCGGGCCCTTTCCTGATTCGTGCGTGGGCCTGCACAACATTGGCCATGGTTATTTCCCCAGGGACAACCCCACACGACCTCATCTCCTTAAAAAGTTCAATTGCTTCCTGATAAAACTCTTTCTGAACCAGGCCCATGATCATGGTTGTATAAGATACGCAATTTCTTACAGGCATTTTGTCGAACAGGTGGTGGGCATCATTCAGAAAGCCGTGCTTCACGTAACCCGCGAGCATTATGTTGCACGAGACGTAGTCCAGCTTCCGGGAGGTGTCGAAAATCGATTTTGCCCAGGAGAGCCAGCCGGTTTTGGTGTACATGCTGATCAAGCTGTTCTGGATGAAGATATTGGAGTCGAGCCCGGATTTTAGAATGAGGCAGTGTAGTTGCCGGCCGTGTGGGTTTAACGACGGGGCTGACGAGACGCATTTCAAGGCTGAAATTAGCGAGTGTTCTATTGAATTGGGTTTTTCGGCGTCGTTCTTGAGGAGGGTTTGCAGTTGCAGGCATGGTGAGGGAATTGTGCAGAGGCATTTGAAATTGATCTGTCGCGAGAGATTATGGGGTCTTAAAGCAAGGATCATTAGAAGGCATAAGCAGGGTAAAGACACAGTTTTGCAGGTTAGTGGTTTTCGAATGACCGACGGACTACATATTTCCGTTGGTCTTAAGGCTGGGAGAGACGGGCACGACGACCCTCTCTAATGGAGTGACTATAGTTTTTCAGTGGTCGACGAAATTGAGGCAGATGAATGAACATGAAACAAGGGACTATTTCTTTGGTAACCGTAATTCTATTGGATAAAATTGATTCTTCTAAAAAAAACAAATGTTGATATCTAATACTGGCAAATCAATTTGCCAAATATAATACAAGCGGTTGTCCAGACAATTATATCTTTATATTCAAATCTATATATATCTAAAAAGGTTGATGTAAAAATCAATTATGGAAACCTAAAAAAAAAAGAGTCAAAACTTTGACTTACTATTTGTGGAACATCTTAAAAATCTGAATTTTTCTTTTGGTTTTCACGGAACAAAAATCTGTTTCGCTTTTTTTAACTAAATTGCGTAAGTTCAGGCCAAAATTTCCGAAATTGTTTGGATAGATAAATATGACTATTTATGTTGATCCTAATTAAGCAAAACTCACTCAAATTTTGAAAAAAAGAAACGTGAATATGATTAACTATTCAACAGCCCGTTAATTAAGGGGGTGATTGGATATGAATTCAACTAGTAAAAAACTAGTTTTTTTTTAACTATAGTTAAGTTTGAAAAAAAGTAATATGGTTAATTGTTAGTGGATATATTAAAATAATATTTAAATTAAAATAATTAAAGTTGATTTGATGTAAAAGTAGGAGAAAATGATTGGAAGTGATGGTTAGTTAAAATTATGTGGGTGGGTGAATAGTGAATTAAAGTTGATGTGATGTGTAATAATAATTGTTTGATATTATTTAATTATATTGATAATATTGAAGATAGTGGAGTTGAGTTAAAGTTGAGTTAAATTTGAGTTTTGAATAGGATATTTACTGTACAATTTATAAACAATCACGCCCTAAGTATCTTATCCCTTTAACTAAGCAAATCTGTTACGAAAATAGACAAAAAAAACGTGAATATGATTGCATATTTTGTTGTTTCATCCCAAAAATCATGGAGTTTAATATCTATCCAAATATTTTTATCGGATCAATTCAAACGTACAGAAAAAAAATTGTATAAAAGGATCTTCAATTCCACCATTACAACTCATCATTTACAAGTACAGAGAAATAAAGAATACAGATATAAATTTAACATCATAGGATAATATAATGCTGCCAGGTTGGGGTACACTTGATTCCCTTAGCAGGAGAAACAAACCTTTTCTGCGTTTGAGAGCAGTCCGAATTTTTGAAACTCATCACGAACTGGAGAGGTCGAACACATTCCATATACTGTTTCATGATGAACAGGTAATATTTACATTTGTTATATCAATTTTATAAGATTTGAGAAATTATTTTAATGGATATTTATAAATTTGTATGATAGGGTGCATTCATTAAATGCATAATACGTTATCCGAATATGGGATTATTTCGAGGTACCCTGAATGAAGGCGAGGTGTATGCAATCCACAATTACAATGTTGAATTTAATAATGGACGAAGAGATATAACTCACATGTGGAAACTTGTGTTTCATGGAAGAACTCTTCTACGCAAATATGTTGGGTATTTCCCGCAACATGGTCATATTCTTCTTCACTAGCGAGGATGAATAGATACTGAAGATCTCAAGTGTTTGATAAGAATTTCGATTTCTATTCTGGATTGTATTATTATTTCATGTCGTTGAATCTTATTATTTCTATTATGTTTGGTAATCAACATTTTATTTGTATTTCGTTATTGATCATTGTGGCCAATTTTAAATGATTTACAATTTCAATTTACTGAATTCATTTATTTATTTTTTTTTCCGATCAATCGTTACATGGGATAATAAATGTTATGTTAGTTTTTTGGGGTACAAAAAAAGGGTATTATGTAAATAAATATTTCATATTCTAATTTTTAAAAATAACAAATTATATTAACAATAATCTTATATTAATTATTCCCGAGATTAACATCTTATAATTTAGTAGATTACAAATCATCATCAATTTTTCTTAGTACTGTGTCCATTAGTAAATCAAATTCGTGTTAATTAGGTTTCAATTTTATTTTATATTTCCATATAAATTAAATAATGATATATCAATTACTCCCATTATTAAATTTTCACGTTTTACTTAAATAAAAACTAAAAAGATATTGTACAGTAATTACGATATTAACATATATATATATATATAACATGCTAGAAAAATTGGCAGATTCCGCTTAATTTAATATTAACACGAGATATTAACGTATATATATAACATGATAGAAAATCAAAGTATGTAATGATAAGAGATTTGTTTACTGTATACTTCTCAATCCTATCATATATCTGTTCCCTTATTTACGTATATCCCTTATCATGAAATACATATTATATTATTATTTAAATTATTATTTTCATTGTAGACCGAAATTAAGTATGAGTCTTCTCACTATAAATATCAATCACCCAATTGAAACCAAAGAAAAAAAAATATCCCGCCGGTTAACCCTCACGTCTTAAGAAAAAAAATCGTCCCCACGTTTATCCCTAAACCAAAAAAAATCGTAAATTATCATGGAGCAATCAGGATTGATCAGACAGCTCAATATTAATATGAGCTTCAATCTTAAGCTTAGAGCGATTAGTATTTTCAATAGGTCGGTCGATGCTTCGTACCCAATCAATTGGGAAATCGTTTTTCACGATATGGAGGTATGTTTATGTATTTAATTCAATTTGTATTGAAATTATTGATAATTTTTTTTAATTGTCTCATTAACAAAGTTGCTTTGTTTTTAGGGTTCACGTATAACTGGTATAGTTCACGGACTACCTATATTTGCTGGGTCTCTTGAGGAGTACGGCGTGTATATAATACGCAATTACCGATTAGAGCTCAACGTTGGTAAATTTCGATCCACTAAGGCAGACTACAAAGTTATAATTGATGGTGATACTGATATCCTTCACGTGCTATCTGATTTTCCTACATGGCCATTCGACTTCCATAGGTTTGCACATCTACAAAATAATGACATTGTGGATGAGTCAATCCTTTATGGTAAATCTTTTACCAATTAGTCATGTTAGATGCGAATTTTTTTTAAATTATATTTTTTATTGTTAATATATTAATTAATTTATTAGTATATATTTTATTTTAATATATTTTAGATCTTTTAGTAATTATTTATGATGTATATGGTTTTTCTTCAACTTTTATTTTTAATTGTTCATATATTATTTAATAAAAGAATATTTAATTTATGAATAAATATATTGTAGATGCTATTGGTATGGTTGTCGAGGTTCAACCTATTCAGAATGATTGGATTAATGGAATAGAAAAGCAAAGGATTTCTTTTTCAATGATGGATTTGGAGTAAGTAATATAAATAACTCTACTTATATTTATATAAAATTTGTTTACTAATGACATTAAAATTGTTCTTTTACTAAATAGTGGATTAGTGATGCGTTGCGAACTATGGGGCGATTATGTTTACGAGTTTATTGGTTGTGAAAATCACTTCCAAGCTGCGGAAAATGGAGAACCATGGGTTCTCATTATGCAATTATGTAGGACAAGGCAAAAGATTGCAGGTATGGCGAATTTTTGGTTCATTTATATTATAATAAAAAAAAATTTTAAATATTATTATACATAGTTTAAATTGCAAATTAATATATATTATTTTGCAACAGGTGAGTATCAATTGAGTTCATATCTGAATGTTACACGACTTTTTGCGGGAAATATCCCGGAAATTATAAATTTCCATGAAAAGTAAGTGTTTTCGAACAAACGACATTTTATTTAGTTATCAAATTTGTCACTATATTGTATTGGGATGGGTTTACATTTTCGGATATCAAATTTAGTATTTAATTAATTTAATTAATTTACTAATTTGTTATAAATTTTAATTTTCAGTTTTGCAAGCAGCAAATGGTACAAGCCGAACATGTATGTCACCAACAGCAGGATTGCGATGTAAAGCAGAAAAGAAAAGCTTTGCAATTGTGATATGAAGCCGTGATCAAGAGAATGCTAGGACTAAATATTAATGTGTTTCCAATTTTTCGAATTTCTGATTAGTGGTGTTCAATCTCTATGACATTACGTTAGTCTATTTATGTTTTTCTATTTATGTTTGCAATTGAATGATTTTTTTTATTATTAATTTCAATTAATATTTTTGGTTATTATTAAATTCAATGGTAAGTTACAAGTGAAAATCAAATTAATATACATTGATTAATATGAAATTATCAATTTTTTTTATATTACAATATATGGAATTAAAGATTTGTTGGGTGATTTGTATAACAAAGTTTTAGATAACTATAAAACAGGTTGATGTAACAAAAAGAACACAAAACAAATGATATATATATTAATAAAATTATAGTTGAAAATGGGAAATTATTACTAAGAGATATTTTGATTATATAATGTTGCATTTAATATTTACGTGTAGAATAAACTTTTAGATAACTATAAAACATAATTAATTTCACACGTTTTAGATAACTATAAAACATAATTAACGAAACAATCAATACTTATCATTCTGTTATATGCGTAGAGATATGCAAGGAAATTGATATGGATTAATTTGTATATATCTATTAGTGTATATCCTGTTCTTATAATAAATATATAGCCTTTCACGGAATATTGTTCAGAAATAAATGCCTTCACGGCACTTTGTGTATTTTCACATCTATAAATAGTGTCATTAATCTTTTACCATAAGTCGTCCTCATATTTCATACTCTTATTTCATCAACTTATTACATTACAATTTTTTCAACTCTTTCAAAATGCCGCTCGTGTGGGGTAAACTAAAGTCTGTGAACCGTACTGACAAGCCGTATTTGAAACTAAGAGCTGTGAGGGTATTTGAACGCACGTTTGATGCCAAATTCAAGAACGTCTTGGAAATAGTCTTCCATGATGAGGAAGTAATTTTTTAAAAATTACTATTACTCTTTTTTCTTTTTAATATAGATTTAAATTATATATTATAATTTAATTCGTTTATTTGTTTTCCATTATGTATGTAGGGTCATCGTATGGCTGGAATGATTCGATCTGTCAATATCCCAAAATTCAAAGATTTTATTATCGAGGACGAAGTATATGCCATTCGAAACTACCAAGTCGAGAGTAACATCGGGATGTATCGATCTACCATTCACAAATTTAAGATGGTCATACATGGGATGACTGAAATCTTAAAGTTTAGAGGATTTTTTCCTACTTTCCGTTATGATTTCAGGAATTTTAACACACTCAAAGATCCCAATAATGTTGATGAATCCACCCTTTTTGGTATGTTCATCTACTTAGCCCTTTTTTTTATTTATTTTATATTTTACTATTTCATTTTACATAAATATACAACATATATTTGATAAACGTTTGTTATGAATAATTGTAGATGTTATTGGAATTGTTGTGGAAATTGGTCCCGTTGCTATCAAAGAAATCAAAGGTGTCCCCACTCGAATGATTATTTTTCATTTAATGGACTTGGAGTAAGTGTTTACTTTTTTTTAATACACTTAGAGTAAGTGTTTACTTTTTTTTTTTTGTCCTATATTAATCTTTATTTTTTATGTATAATTAATTTAGAATCTAAATTATTGTAGGGAGAACAAGTTGAGTTGCACTCTTTGGAATGATTATGTTGATGAATTTCTTCAACATGAACAACAACATGCTGGAGTTGATGGCCGCCCTTGGATTATGATAGTTAACTTTTGTAGAGCAAAACCATTTGATGGTATAAATTGTCTACATCAATATATTTTTTATCTTCGAAATATTCTATTTTTGGTTTTTTGATAAATAACGTTTATATAGGTCGTGTTCAATTGACAACTTCACATAATATCACTCGGCTCATTTCAAATGAAGTTCCGGAAAGTGAGGACTTTCGTACAAGGTTTGTGAAATACATTAATATACATGTGTTATATTAATTGATTTGTTCTTAAATTAGTAATCCCATGTATTTTGTATTTTTTAATAGGTGGGCAACTACAAATGTTCGCAATGCTTCTTTAACTTCAAGGAGTTCGATTGTAGCACGTGATGAATTGGATGAACTTGCTAGCGGTAATTTGGTAGTCGCCTCTGTTGTTTCCCTTTATGGGGTTGATAAGGTATTGACGATGTATAACAAATAATGTATATAGGGTTTAGGGTTTAGGGTATTGACGTACGTGTTTTATATTATTGTAAAATCCTTACGTAAATTTTCAACAGGGAACAACTACTTGGATATGTGCTACTATTAATTCTGTTATTGATGAGTGGTACTACCTTGCGTGCCGCAAGTGTAGTACTAAAATGGACGAGAGCAAAAGCCATTATGAGTGCTCTAAATGCCAAGGGAAAAGGGGTGTTTTTCGGTTAGCAAATCATTAAAATAGTTTATCTATTTATATATTCTTTATTTAAATTTAAGTTTTCTTTCAAATTCTTTTTAGTTGGTTTCAACTATTATTTTATCAATCTTTAGGTATAAGATCCCTTTTGTTGTTTCCGATGCAACTGCGGATGCTACGTTAATTGGTTGGGATAGAGATTGCGAAAAGCTACTTGGTATCAGCTGTGATGCACTAAGGCGTGCGATTATTGATAGGGTATTATATCTAAATAATATTTCATATATATAAAATAAAATATATGTAAAGTTGTCTTTTACTTGGTTATTATTATTTTTTTGCATTATAGAAAAAGATTGCCTATGAGCTGCCCGATGAGGTGGAGGAGTTGGTGGGCAAAACATTTCTTTTCAAAGTTCGAATCCAAACCAATCAACATTTTGGCTACAATTCGACATTTTCAATTGTTAGATTGGTTGACGATGATAAGCTGGTCTCCAAATATAACCACTGGGTTGTGGAGCATACCGTATGGTTTATTTTACTTATTTCATGTGTTTTTCTTATTCTATCGATTTATCTCTTTCTCTATTACATAATATAATAGAGAGCATCATTAATTTTTATTCACTAATATTTTGAATTCTTATATTCTTTAGGACTCCGACTTTATGACTTTGCTCTTGAGGGAACAAGAAGAGATTGGAGAGGTATAGAAATTTTTGAAATATTACCAAAGTTATATGTATTATATTCAATAATTATATTTTTTGTAAATCAATTAAGGCTGATAAATTCGTTTATATATTTATTTTTTTGTTAGGATGATGCTGATGAAGTTACCACTCCTATGAAAGTGGCTGTCGAAAAAGAGGCTGTATGTGACACATCTACAGCAAAACGCAACCTTTGGGAGGAACTAAACAATTCAAGTGAAGTTGTTTTGGCCTTGACAGCTCAATCTGCTTCTACTGATAAAGGAAAGTCGAAGGTGAATGCTTCCATTGATAAAGGAAAAGGCAAGGTGGACGAATAAGCGCAACTGCTGAGGCTTCTACTTTACTTATTATATTATTAATATTTAGATTCATTTTGGTTTGTTGAAGTATTGGAATTTGGACGTTTTATTTCCAATAATGTTGATGACTTTTATTTCTAAGATTGCAGCAATTGTAGTTGTTGATCTTTTATGATTTACACTCATGTTTTTGAGTGCGGATGTTTAATGAATAAACGGCAACATATATATATTGTTGTTTTGGTTATAGAAGATTTTATCATTAACATTTCAATGGATGTTTTTTTATTTTCGTAAAATTCAATAAATTAAATACTATGGAATATGCAATATCCTGCAAAAAATATGACAGACGTGCAATCACATCACAAGCCATATACTAATATAATCCACCAATTGCAAATGAATTAATAAAGTTATGTCTCCAAATGTTTGATTTTTTTTTTTTTTTGTTTTGTTATGATTCTCTAATTCTCAATTTATACACAAACATGTAATTTTGTTTGTAATTTCACATATTTAGAGACTTTATTTGTTTGTTATTCCATTGAAAACCATTATAACACATTGAGGTTCTTTCAATGTGTTCGGAATAGATGCTGATCTTCTTGATAAAAGTTTAAATATGATCTGATATAATAAAAAAAGTATTGGATAATAGATGTTGATTTCTAATAATGCATGTTTAATTGATCTCTCCTAAAGCACGTGTAATTAATTGATTTCCTAATATATTGGATAAAACCCACGTTAAGATAACTATTAAACATAAGTAATTTAACAAAGTTTAAAAGGATTTATCCCTAAAATTCTTGGATTTATCATTTTTATAATTATAAGATCATGATATAATTCAATATAAAACACATAAATTCCTTGTATGGGATAGTTACACTTGCCTAATATTAAGGAAGATTGACTGTATCTTTTAGTTTCCTATATTTTTGTATTAAAAGATAACTATGCCCGTATAAAAACATGTGTTTATAAAATCAATGGTTGTTAAAGAAAATCCTAATCATTCTTATGATAAGGTATTCTTAAGTCATCAATATCAATATTAAACCCTAAACACACGTACCTAATATTAAGGTAGTTAAATATCTTCCTATATTCTTGGTTAGAGGTATTCTATATATACTTCACCAAACTCGGTAATATCTTCCTATATTCTTGGTTAGAAGTACTCTATATACTTCACCAAACTCGGTGATATCAAAAGTTTGTGAAGTGTGCCAACCATATCATAAATATTATGAAGACATAACAGTTTGTGAGAGTGAAAACTCTACACAACAGTTTGTGAATTGTGCCCACCATATCATAAAAGATTCAATGGCATCAGATCCATTCAGATGTCCAATTGCAACAAACGGTAAAGGCAACAAATTTATGAAGACATATCAAGAAGGAAACAGAATCACAGGTAATATTACTACCTTCATACTACAATTCTTCCAAAATTATGTGAAAACAGTAAGTTTATTCTGTATTTTTTAAGGGCAGTAAGTGCATAATATGTTTTTAAAGAGATGTATGTGCACATTATTGAAGTTTTATATAACATTTATAATTTTATCTGAATAAATTCTAACACAGGTTCTGATTTTTCAGAAACAGACAGTAATGGGAATGCCACAGAACAAGTATTCAACAAAAGAACCAAAACAACCAATGAGGCTAATATATCCCAAGGTTATATTTTCAGTATTTAAGTATTGCTTTACTTAGTTTATATTCTGTATAAATGTATGTAAACATACCTGTATGCACTCCTATTTGTGATAAGTTGTTTGTTTTGTGTCTTTGTCCATGTATGCTCACTCATGCTCGATATTATCCAGTACATGTAAAAAGGTAGTACAAGTTAGAAATACAGATGGTACAAGTTATCAAGTAATTAGAAAATATATATGTAGTATAACACAATTTTATATCGACCATATATTGATACCAATAGCATTACCTTGCACAATGTGATTCTCTGTTCTTCCAACGAGCATGAATATATTCTGTTGAATGCTTCGATTCAGATATTTCGTACAATACAACATGTAAAATATTGACGGAATTTATACGTACCACAAACAAAATTGTAACACCTTCTGTTTGTATGCCTGTTGTTCTTCATCTCTGGTTGAATACCATAAGTCTTCTGAATATACATTTTGTGATTCACTGTACATACATCCTAATTTTATACACATTAATCATACTACCATTACAACTTTTGAAAGAATCACTAGGGGGAAGGGGATCATTATCTCTAAACATATCTTCCTATGTTCTAAACATGCTCTGACTGTATAATGAAGCATCTAAACAGGGTTCAGTTTTAACCATTGGTTCTGCAAAAAAAAAAAACAAAAAAAAAATAATTAAAAACAAGTTTTGAAGCATAATGAAAGAAAAATATAAGACGTGGTGGGGGAACGAAAATATACACAACTTCAATTCCGACTGTGACGATGTAGAACAAAAGTGGATTACTTCGAACTCTTAAATTCACGATCGGGTTGTTCCCGGACGTAAAAGCTTACCCAAACGGGAATATAAAAATCGATTTTGTACTTTTTTTGTGCGAAACCAAAAAAATTTATAAATATAAAATTCTATACAGATTTCTGATGTCATAACGATTTTAATTGCAAAAATGTTTAAAAAAAATTAACAAAAAAAACAAAAATTTGCAGATCTTCAAAAATATATATGTAATCAACAAAAATAACTACCCTATCTTTTGTAGTTATCATGATTTTAATCGAAAAATGGTTTAAAATTTTTTAAAAAAAAGGAAAATTTATAGATCTTCAAAGATCTATATGTAGTCAACCCAAATCACTACATATTTTTTTATCTACATCACTATTTTAATCGAGAAAAAAATTGAAAAAATTAAACAAATAAATAAATAAACGAAAATTTTGTAGATCTGTGAAGATCTACCATGTAAACTCCCGATTTGCACCGAAAATACTATGAATTAGTAATTCGATGTTTTAAAATCGGAAGATCTCACTTTTTCCATCTCTCTTTTGCCTCGAAAAAAAAGGAAACTCAGTTTTTTTTTCAGTATCTGTTCGATTTTGTCGCCGGTGAAACATTTTCTCCCAGAAAATTATTGCAAAAAAAAAAAACATAAAATGAATCAAGTTATCGGCATTTTTCAGAGAAACGATGAGAGAGATACCAAATGGACAGAAGTGTGATGGAGAAATGAGAAAGTGGTAGGGTTTTGAGTGGACTTTAAGTGACACAAATTGTACACGCGTCGTCATTAAAATGTGCATGATTGTGCCAAATGACGATTTTAACCTTATATAATACATTCATTGTTTGGTCTTCTTGCCTTCCCGGGCTTATGAACATTTGGGCCGTCTTTTTCCAAATTGTATCGGGCTTATTTTACATATGGGATGGGTACATTAAATAAGTGGGCTTATAATGATATGGTAAAAGTTATATTAAGTAAGTGGGCTGTGTATATTAATGGAATGGGCTGTGTAAAATTATTTTACATATGGGCTGTGTATAATAAATAAGTTGGCTTATAATAATACAAATAATAATTTACATGTTATATGCTACCTTATAGCCCAATTTTAATTTGGGCTATTATTTTATAAATTAGTGGCCTTATTATTTTTTACTTATGGTACTTGATATAATTAAATATGCTATGTTTGTTAATTCTATTAATTTTAAACGTGTAATAGTATGGAACAAATTTAAGATTTTTAATATCAATTACAATTTTATTCCATTGATTTTTCTGTTAATACACTTTAATTTATAGGTATTGTGAATTTCGATTTTCGGACTGGATCAACTGTCAGTGAAAGACAGATGATAAATTTATCAGGAAGTTTAAATAATGTCTCAGATCATATGCCATTCAGAGATATTACAAACGGTATTTCATTTATCTTAGTTTATTTATCTCATCTTTAGTTTCATGATATTTTATTGTATACTTAATTATTTTTTTAAATTCTATTATTATAAATTAATAGGTCAGCATAAACATCGTGTAGAAAGCTCAAAATGTTCCAATGTTCTTGGAACAAAAGCCATGGTGATAGACATCTTGAGTGACGACGAAAATCAAAATACAACTCTTACTGCACCAAAAAAGTTGTATTCGTCGAAACACTACACATCATGTCGTACACAGAGTGCAAGCGTTGTTATTGATCTAACTCAGGACGATCCCATGCAACCCATTGTTCAGAAAAGAAAGCGTGGTCGTCCTAGAAAAATTCATGGGTCTACTTCAGGAATACCTGGTTTGTTCTATTTAAAATGTCAATATTGGTGATATATTTTATTCATTCACATGTTATATAAAAGTAATTTTCCTTTAACATTCTTTTTATTAGAATTCGGAGACATGGGATATGCAATCTTCTCTCATAAACATGATAATACAACTCTTACTACACCAACAATGTTTTCGTCGTCGAGGCAGTCCACAACAGGTCCTACAGAAAATGCAAGTGTGTTTATTGATCTAGGTCAAGATGATCCCATTCAGCCCATTGTTGAAAAAAGAAAGCGTGGTCGTCCTAGAAAAATTCGTGGGTCTACTTCAGGAATACCTGGTTTGTTCAATTTAAAGTATCAATATTATTCCAATATTTTTAGTCATTCAAAAATTAAATCTAAAATATGTTACTTTACATTCCATTTTCAAGAATACTGGGACATGGGAGATGCAAGCTACTGTTGTAGACATTGCGAAGCAAAGTTTTGGTACGAGGAAAGGAAAGCTCATGATCAAAATGCACTTTTTCCGGATTACACAGGTTGTTGTGTTAATGGAATCGTAGAGCTTCCTTCAGTACAAGATCCTCCTCAATTTTTGAAAGATTTGTTTTATGGAGATGACCAAATAAGCAAACATTTTCAAGAAAACATACGATCTTACAACAGTATGTTCGGTTTTACATCAATGGGCGGTAAAATCGATGCGGATATCAATAAGGGATCAGGACCACCTGTTTTTGCTTTACACGGAC